TTAGAGGAACAAATGACAAAACTATCACTAAATTGGACAAAAAATAAAAAAAATTTAAAAGAAAGAAATTAACAAATATAATAATGGCACTCTTACTTATCGTGGATATCCACCACCATACTTGTATTATAAGATTACAGGTGGCAGGCGAGACTATAATTTACATCTTATTACCATATCAAAGGTGTTCAACAGTTAAAGATAAATTGGTCTGTGAACGTGCATTACTTCATGTACCAAAACACACTTTAGGAAACTTTAAGTGCATTAAGCTGTATCACAATCATTAGTAAAAGGTAAATATAAACCAGTAATTCTATTGGATGGACCTGTTTGTACATCACTTTTAAGCTTTAAATAATCACCTTGGGCACTGAAAAAAATTTAGTTTGTTGTAATTTTATCAGTTTTTTTACATTTCATAAATTTTATCTACTGTGCTCTATGAGGTTGTGATGAAAAACAAAGCATAACAAAGATAAAATCAGATAACAATATATTTGGTGCCAGCACTTGGGCACCAGGAAATTAAAATAGAACAGCTATCTATTTACTACTTGATAAAAGTTTTAGTTTTGCTTTTTCAAACACCTTGAATGTAATTTTCACCTTTTTCAACATAAATTTACTTTATATGAAATCTCAGTCAGTGAGGATGACTTTCATCTCATCAAAAGAAGAGTCAAAGATAAAATCTCACTGATGTCACAAGTCTTGGCGACCAATAGATTGCTTTATATGCAGCACTTTTAGATATCTTATAATTAATGGGGTAATTAAGGGCTGATGATATTTCCAGTTGCTGCTATTATCTATTCTAATGTCAAAATGTCACAAGGAAAGGTTACAGGAAAAAAGGCCTGATAGATGAAGCTGCAGAATATCAAGATTAGGACAATAATTATAAGAAAAGTTATAATAGATGCATCTTAACTATCAAACGATTTTTTAAAAACTGTATGGGCACATTCAGAACAAGTTGATCCAAGGGCTAACTGAACCACAGATCAAATATGGCTGGCCTACTATAAAGCTTGCCACATAATAACCCTATTAGACACTGAATAGATACCCTAGGGGATTACACAGTAGGCTTTCAAGTGGGACAGTCATATTTGATCTGCGGTCAAAGAATCACAATCATAAGCCTAATTAATATATAAGCCATAAAACAGATGCTATGTGTATAAGAATCTCTTTTAATTGTAGATGTAAAATATAATATTTCCATTTGCTGTGAAACATTTGTACTAAAATAAATTAATAATTTCTGTAATTTTATTGTTTGAGTGCAGACGTGGTAATTATGACTAAGCATAGAAGTGTGCAAATGGTTTAATCTTATCAGGACCTTACAAGTGATATAATCCATTTTGTCTTATTAGCAGTATGTCAATATTTCCAAATACTCTTCACACTGATAAATAATGTATAAATTCTGTATTCCATAATATCAGATATTTAACCATAATGTTCAGCCTAGCAGTCTAGGCAAATATAACAGATAATGTGTGGTGATACTAGCAGCAAATTGAATTTCTGTCATCACAGGTGCACTCCATAGGTTTGAAAATCCCCAAAATGCTGATGTTTGTCATTCGCAGCTTCTTATAAAACCTAACATACACCTTAAAACAATTTAAGACCTTAAGTTTTTTTTCTGGAGGGTACCTGATGTTGATATTACCATCAGAGTCTAGGGCTCTGTTCTCACAACTTTTAGATCGATCTATCACCGCGGGGAGTCTCACTAGATTACTGTCAGATAATCCGCCTTAAGTGTCCGTCCCCGCCTACTACAAGCTTTAAGGTGTAATTAACTTTCGTGTCCGCCCGGCTGACAGCTATTTAGCGTGAACCCCCAGGGAGTTAGGTCGATCCAATGTAGGTCGATCTAATCTATGAGAATGGGGTGTAGGATGATGATCGCTTTGTATTTAATGACTGGCCAGTCATTTTAAACAACATTATCCTTTATAAACTCTATTAAAGGTAGAATCCAAGTGCAGAGAGGGATAGATGATTTGCAAGTACGAGAAATTTGCTTACTTCTTTAAACAATATAATATCATAACTATTTTTACTTATTTTTCATGGCATTCGGCATATGCATGTGAATATTAAGATGCACATTGTTTTTAAAAACCAAACCTATACATGATTGCACAATTTTGAAGGTCATATAATATTTCTGCTAACTATAAAAATATGATTTTATGTTCTTAGATTCATAGACCCATAAAGAATAGTCAGACCAAACATTCCTACCTTAGGAAAAGAACATCCTTTGGCTGTGATGAGTCGACCTTTACTTTGATTATACAAGGAAATACCTATTTCAGATATTCAAAGATTCCAAAATATCCAATATGTGCAGTCCCATGTCCCACATGTGTACAATATCAGCTCTGACAGCCAAGTTCTTGGTTATAAAACTAAAAATCAATTTGTTATGGTGGCTCACTGAGCATAATGTATTCCTATAATCAGGCAAGCAGCTGATTCATCCAGAAATAATAAATGATGTTTCTACTATCATGTCTGTAATAAGTCCCCTAGCTGGGTATGCCAGCTAAGGTCCGACAGTTCACTTCTAGTACAGCAAATCAATACCTGGTGAAACGAGGTAAAACAGGAGAAAAACTCGATACTGCTATAAAACTGACATTTCTCGAGGAAATTCTGACTTAACACAACCATTCCAGCATAATCACGAAGTTAAGCCGTCTGTGTAAGTCAATAAGCCACCAATCCCTTGAATGCCTTCGAGTTGAAAAAAATTCAATAGGAACTAAATAGCTGTGATTAGTGTGAAAATCAAACAGTCCTAGAATGGAATGTCATACATTGATGTACAGACAATATGACATCACTGGGGCCAGACAGATGGTCATCCTTGGCCTACGCATATGCTGTCACAGGCTGAGGATTGATGTATAGATAAGACAACATTATGCTGTAATAAATATGAATAATTCAATCACCATGCATACATATATTCTGACTTAAGTTGAATAACAAAAATGTTCTACTGGTATCATCATGTCATAAAACACATGACTGTAATAATTAATACAAGATTATTAATAAATAATTGCAAGCAAGCAAGCTGCTCCTTACGTCTCCTTGAAAATATACCTAATTCAATTTAAAAGGAAATTTTAAGGGCAACCTATCTCTTATCAATTTCCAAAAAAAATATGGTCCATAAAAGTTTTAGCTTACTGGCCACTTTACCACCAGTTTCCTAAAATCTCCTGGTCAGAAATGCAGATTCACTGGTCCGTACAAAAAAATATCAATAAGACTGGACATTTACCCCCATGGCATTAAAACTAGTGTTGACAAGACTGATTTTTTCATTTTTTAAAAAGAATCATCATGTAATGATTACATTTCAGAAAAAAAATAAATCAAATTGAAAGCTCTAATGAAAACTTAAAAAGACACATACTGCAAACTCGCAAAATTCACACATGCTAAGAGATGTTGCTGGTCTGCACAAATTTTTACTGGCTGCAGGCTTGGACCACTGGTTAATGTGGCAGACTGCAATAAATCATAATATACCGGAAAAAATCTATATGTATAGCAAAACACATGATCTATAAAATTTACAGATATTTACCCCAGTAAAGTACATTTTCCCCCGGCAGTACAAGTTGAATGCCTGCACATTTTGTGGCTAAAATCATCATGATTTTTCTAAAATCGTACAATCCCATTTTATACACAGCTGTATGGCACAAACTGGTCAGGAGCAGTCCCTGATAACAGATTGGAAGAGTTCAGGGTTGACAAAGTCACCTTTATTTCTGTAGGTTATTCAAATCTTGTATAATATCCAGGTGCCACAGCTTTAAATATTTATTCATAATTGTTTTCTACATGTGGCACAAAATACATAAAAAGAGCATTGTTTGGAGATACTATATTCCAAAAAATGAACATTTCACCATTTTATTACTATAAAAGCTTTGGTATGAATAACAAAATATTGAAAAAAATTAGTAATGAAATATGTAAATCATAGCAAAAGATAAGCTAAACCGTGTGGAGTATTTGTACAACATGCTATTCACTAAAAATTGGGTGTCAAAAAAATTCTCCACAATTTTTAATCAGTAATGTTACCTATGCTGAAAAGTAAATTGGCTTTTGATTGGCTGATCTAAACCTTATCAGTTAAACAACCTCACTGTGTAAGCTTAAAACGAATTGTTGTGATATTATGTAAACTGTGCACAGGTCTACGTGTGACTGGGAACGTAGACTGAACTGGAGTCTTCAGTGATGTACACTGCATGATGAAATACCTGGCAGGTAAGACAGGCACACACCTTTACCTGTACCCAAAGTTTAAAAGCATAAAAAAGCCATTACTTCAGGATGCTTTTTAACAGTATTGAGTTTGTACTTATATTTAAAAGGTCCTCATCAAGGATACAACGAACACACTAAAGATATTCAAATGTATAATGCACTACCTATTGTTTTCATAACTTAATCAATCAAACTCCAAGTCAAACCAAAACCACTAAAAGTTTCAAGGTGCTTTAAATGTTTATGTTTTTATTTATAAGTGATAGGAAAGCCTTTCTATGGAGTTGGCTAATACTCAAGTTTACAAAGCCTGAGAAAGATCAACCTTTATAAATGTGAAAAGAGTCTTAAATCTAGTGAAAATAAATAAAAATATGTATTTAAAAAAAAAATGGAATATATATAAACATACCAAAGCTGACACTGATGTCATTATACATTTTCAATTTCATTTAATACATAGGTGTTTATAGAGTGCCTATGTCTACTTGTCATGACACTGCGAATAATCGAAGCTCAATAATCCTAGTTTTCAAATCTACTTTTAAAGCACTTTATTTGGCATGTGAATTGATTGCAAAATGCCAGCACTTAACCATACAAAAGAATGCATTATACAGCTGAAGCCTTTTTCTTTGGTACAGAAAATGATCATGATTTTTTCCAAGGTCCATTGTGTCACTGTGTCAGTGGATACAGAATATAGCCTACAGTCTTTCAGATTTCATCAATGTAGACATTAAGTATGACCACTCACTGTTTTCTGCCATACATCGACCCTTATATTTATCTCTTAAAAACACAAAACAATGAAATGTGTAAAGTACAATGACGTCATTCCAATAAATTTATGTTGCCATCATAAAATTTCCTTTCATCTCACAACAAAGGGTTCTTTACATCCAATTAACTCACTGCATGGGCTATATGTATGCCAATTTATCAAGTATAAGTATTTTGTTTTTTAAGACTTGGAATCAAGTGCTTGGAATGATATGCTTTTTATTTCAGGTACATTTGCTGACTGCCATTAAAAGTTTTCCAGAGGCCATAGTTGACGTAGATGCATTTTGCAATATTGAAAATGTTAGTAAAATAACAACAATATTTGAAGTTTTACAATGCCCTTATATCAACGTTATAAAATACATACATGCAGATAAGGCCATCTTTTTGAACATGTTTTTTTGCATTGCCCACCAATTTGTTTTTTACTTGAATGATGTACATGTTATTGGGGTTACTTCAATACTAATGTCAGCAGTTTTTTTTTTTTCAATGTACTTTCTCTAAATTTATAATTTTAAACAATATTAATCAAACTGATAAAAACTGTTTCTCTTAACAAATAGCTACGATCAGATCAGAAAACATTGAAACATTGTCACTATTTGTGATTATTAATTTTACTGAGACCCGATAAATGGTACTGCTACAAATTACAACTGCTAAACATTATATCAAAAAAGGTGTTCTGAGTATTGGAAATAATTCTGAAAGAGAATAAAAACCTATGCCATAAACTTCTGTCTCCTAAGAATGAATTCTAGTTACATTCTAGATATGTTGTTGTCAGCAGACCTTAAAAGGAAAAAAACCTTGAAGACAATCTAATTAGCATAAATTACTATACTACAATGCGCCTATTCCATGTATACACATTCCTTTGGGAAAAAATCATATCCAGGTACACCAACCTATTGATATATATATCAATCATCCTGGCTCATAAATATGCAAAATATGTTATTGCTTAATAGGAAACACTGGTAGCTTTGGCTACAGCCAGAAACATATTACTATTTTACTGTCTTCTTTTTCCAAAGATAGTTCTGTAGGTGCATCTGCACTGATCCACCAGAACAATACAACATTAGCATATTTCATAGAATCTCTTTATTAAAGGGATAAAAGCTGTTCATTTTGGCAAAAAATTGATTTTCCTGGGTTAAACGACAATTTTGCCATAATTCCCAATGATTAATGATCCGTTTCATCATTCAAAGTTAGTCCCTGTGTTTTTTTTTTTTTTTTTTTTTTTTTTTTTTGTAAAAAGTTTGGGTTTTTTAAATAATTTTAAGACATTATTACAGAGGGCAATCATCTATGAGTGTCACATGGTCTGAAGGCAAGCACAAGTTCCAGAATAATTGCGATTATCGCCATTTTGGTGGTAAAATGGAATTTATTATTTTTCTATGAACTGTTTACAATGTATTTATTGTGAAATATGGATCTCATATGCAGAGTTGTTATCCTTTTAACATGAAATCAATAAATGACACTGCTTCCTCTTCTAGTTAATAAAAGCACCCTTATCCATTTGATAACCAAGCAACTTGAATAAAAACACTGTCATTAAAAACATTTTCAAAGCACAAAGAATGAAACAGAGGTTCAATAGCTTTACTGAAAATCAAACACACAGGAAATTATCTAATTAAGTTTGCAAAACCATGTATCTGCTTAAATAAAAAGCACTGAAGCAGACATCCATTTGTTTAGATAAATCTATAAATGCCTTACCTGTCAACTTTTACATAATAACAATCATTATGATAAACTAATAGAGTTAACCTGAGAGTTTACATACAGCAAACTGCATTACCTGGTAATATAGATGAGTTTCTATTTGTAAACAAAACATCCAAAAAGAGTCAGCTACCACTGCCACTGCCAGTAATCCCTTACCTCAGCTTCTCCTCCTTAGCAGATGTGCAGGCACTCTCAGCTGTATCTGCCTCAGCATCCACAAAATAATCTGCCTGATAGATGACCAATACTGACCACACAGTAAACATTATACTCTGTTAATATCTAACATACTAGTACATGCATTTTGGTCAATATCTTCCAATACGCCTGTATGCAAAGTGGGGTGAACATCCCGACTGTGTAATATGTAGGATATATTTATAGAACCTTATGTGTGCCCTTTTCCTGGAACAGCTGGATAATTTGACTCCCAGTACCTTCATTCAACACAACTGTGCCCACAGCCTTGGAACATACACAGCTAAAGCAATTCCCAGTATCCTTATTTATTAACACTCTACTGCATAGATCATTTCCTAAGAAGAAATATGCTCCTGAGAGAAAGAAATCCTCATTTAATTCATATCATAGACTTTCATCAAAACAATAAAGACAGAAACCAAATGTACTTGAATTTGTATGTATTCGGGTATGTTATTGCTGCATGTATGGTATTCTACAGCAACCTCCACAACATTCATAATGATATTATAATGAGCTAATGTGGATAACATGATAAACAGACTGCAGGAATTCAGTAGATGCACTTTAGGCAGGCTTCTGTCTATTTTTGTCTGGTATTAGCATCAACTGGCATTTTCTCCCACATATTGATCGTCCCAAAAGAATACTCCTGATAAAGTGCAAACAACAGAATGATATATGGACTTGATTTAATCTCAAACTTTTTCTTCCCACTTAATATGAATGTTTGGTGTGCATCTTAAAAAAAAACAGCAGGAAATTTGCTGAAGTTGATACCGATTATCAGTACATTCGTCATAATCAGAATCAGTAATTAGAAAGTGCAGCATTTTCACAAGCAGTTTTGATTCATCACATAAAGTTATATTAAGAATGCTACATATGTTCATAAAGTGAAAGAAAAGTTCAAAACAACATCTAAAATACTGCAATTTAAGAATAAATCACAAGAACCTCCTAATTACATAATAAACTGGTTTTAAATGAGTGTGTGCTGAGAGTGAGCTTTTTGTACATTGTAATTTTTGTATTCATAGCAAAAGTGAACATCTCTAAATGATTCATCCTTTCAGAATGATCAGCTGAGCATTTAGTGTTACATTTTTGAGAATATTCTCAATATTGTTTTGTTTCCCAAGGCTTCAAACTATTATCATAACATTTATCAAATAGACAAGGTAAACACCTGGAATGTTTTACAGTGCTGTATAAATATATGGAGTAGACACAGTTCATTTAATAAAATTTGACTTTTATTTCTTCACTGCTTTTCAGATTGAATGACTTTTGCACATTTGAAACACAATTTACTCTACAACACATGTGGGTAAATTTATTTATATTCTCTCTTTCCAGGAATTCACCATGGTTCAATGTATTATTTGTACATAACCCAGATGTTGTTCACAAGCGTCCTGGTGAAAAATATATGCAGTGCAAAAGACATAATGTGAATCCCAGAGGCATATAGGTAAGTAACAAGATAACATAGAATTACCAGAACTACCAGCCCCATGCTGAGACTAATAAGCCACTATGTTTATACATTCTTTGAAGTTAATATGAATTTTAAGAAAAAAAGGCTGACAGCAGACCACTTCTACATAGTGGCAGTTATAATACAGTTATTACTTTAGTCTGCAATCAATAAAACATTAAAATCACGGGAGTAATGCATGTCTTCTTCTATATGCTTGGTTTCTACAATTTCTTTAATCAGGTCTAGAGATTGAAAATATCTTTACACAAAACCTTGTTAGCTAAAAATATGCCTGTTTCTGTACGTTTTCTGTGCCTATTTAATATGTGTCACTGTGAAATAGCGATAATCACTGCTTATAAATTCAAGTACTATTTATAAAGCGGTGGACTACGGGTAACCGCGTGAACATCCAAGTTGGACATCATACACACAAACCCATTAATCAGATAACAATTGGACAGTACTGGTATTATTGCCCCAGTACACACACACAATGTCCTCAAGGCTAAGGCTGAGGACTTACCTGTACAGTGGGCTTGACCCAGGGACCGCTTGACCCACTTATTAATTTAATTTAATTTTAAGCACGATCCACATTGTTATGACAGAATTGCTTTATATGACAATAAATCTTACGCGTTAATGTTGTTTTGAGACAATCAATTTAAAAAATTTGCGCCACGTTTATCACAAAGATTTAAGATTGCGAAATAAAAAAATCAGTTTGACTGTCTTCCTCTGATCAGACGACAATTGATGCCGCTAACTTTGTCTCACAGAAGCTTCAGAATGAAAATAAACTCACCTATTTATCTTTCAAAACGATGTTAACAGTTTTATGTATTGTTTGTGATCCAAAAAAGTGGATTTTCCCATTTGAATCATTGAGTAACCTCTTCAAAATATTCTTGCTAGGTGAGGTCAACGTTGGGTCATGCCGGGAATCACTGCAGTCTCGCAGTGAGGAAGCTCAAGAAGAATTCAATGACAAATTTAAATTGTGAACAAGGTAATTGATAATGTCATAGGAAACCTTTTAGTTTTTAAAAATGCAGTTAAACTATGGAGCACAACTACTGTCAATTTATATAACGATTATCTGATATTATATTTATGTACCATTCTCTGCGGAGCATGTATACAAATACACGTGCTCAGAACAGCATAACAGATGTGTGGACAACAAACGAGTCTCTTGTTGCATAATATGGACAAAAGGGTACTGTTTATTTGGCTGTGTACATGAGTTTTTATATGAACATAATGACTAAATCACAAATGTTTGATTTTTTTCAAATATTTTATTTTACCATGATTAACTTTTTTCTTTTATAAACCTCTTACGTTTATTCACGCTTGAACTTCTGTTTCAGATTATGTTTTTTCGATGCTGGTGCTTTCATCATGTCTTGGACAGGAAATGCTCTGAACTTCATCTCTCATCCAAGTTTTCCAAAATAAGACGGGAAAAGTGTGGAACACAAAAGTTTTATTATTATTATTTTTTTCTGTACACTTGTTAAGTAAGATCGGAAAGGGTCCCAACCCCCTACAGCTTACACAAACGAGATCAAGAGAATAGCAGAATCGCTTCAAGTCATGTTAGTTTTAATAAAATAGTATGGAGTAATATTTTTGTACATTTTACGTGTGAAATTCCACCAGTTCAGCAGGAAATATGAAAAGGGTAACCTTATGAAAGAAACATATATATATATATATATATATATATATATATATATATATATATATATATATAATTTCTGTCCAGTATTTTAATTGTGTACTTAGTAAATATTTTCATTTATTGCAAAATAAACCTGTGATTATGTTATTTTTTATTGTGGAATGGGGTCCTGGGGTTGCAGAGATTACTAGAAACTTGCCTCCCTTATCAGCCTTGAATTACAGGGTAGTGTTATATATTTACTAGTACATATTTCTTCATGTACCAATAAACATAAGTGCATTAACTTGAAGAGTTAAACTTGAAGAGATTCTCAATTTGGAATGAGAAATTAGATCAAATTATCATTTTTAGCACCTACATACCTTGGATACTTTGATTATTATGTTATATGTTTAATTACTTAATTTTATTTTTTGTTGAATAGTTTTAACCATTCAGAATTTCTCCTTTGATGAAATTTTTTCCTCATACAGATGTACATTTTTCCTCAATAGTGCTAGCTGTTTGCATTGTTTCTACATTACATGAAATAAAATATATATACAGGAGTGCAACAGGCAGAAATATGGAATTCAAGGTCTTTTCTCTTCATAACATTTATTCTTCTTTTTACTTTGTCTTCTTTTATTAACTATCATGTTTTGGAGTTACATGTACAGTTAAGCTCAGAAATTTTGGTAACACTTTTTAACAACTTAATTAATATTGGTTACTTTTTATAACGCTGTCCCCTCTTTTATGAATGGATTGTGTTACTTGAACCAGGGAATTATATCCGATATAATTCCCTGCTTGAACACAGTGCATGTTTGCTCACTGCATTATCAACAGACAATAGTTTGGTGATTTATTGCAGCATGGGGTGTTATCCCCTGTCTAAACAGACTGTGACCACAGAGGTGTCAGCTCTGATATCCTATAATTATCACTGTTAGCTAGGTAGTTTCTTTTGGCAACAAGAGGTAACAAACATAAAAATTTTGAGCGTTCTTTCTGAGCTCAACTGTATTTAATAAAATGACATTCTTTGGTCTGTTTTGGCCTCTTGGTTAAAGGGAAACAACTCTTCATATGAAAGGAAATGTAAAAATTCTACCCTATGAGAGTACATGTAAAAATTCTACCAGGGCCACAGTTATTATTGTGGACATATTTGCTGAGGCAACCCTGTGACATTTGGCCAGATGGGAGCAAGTAAATCTGCACACGCACGGATGGCATTGTACCTGCTCTGCAGGAGCTCAGTGAGAGATGTGCTTCGTCCCAATGTAATTAACGCTTGTTGCGCAACCTGCCTTGTCTTGTCTGTCTGCTAAAGGGCTGTTTTATTGTCACAGGTGAGCAATTAACTATCTTGATTACTGTCAAGGGGACTTGGCAGGGACTTGCTAAGTGACTGTGCCTGAGTAGTTATGCAAACATAACAGGGTCACAGTGCAGAGATTAGCCATCTATTTAACCAGAGACATATCTGTTAAGATATCTAGTGAAAAGACAATCTGTGGCCCTGGTAGAGGGTATAAAATTCCACAATAAATGCATTGTTAACAACAAATATATAAATANCAACAGGCAAAAATATGGAATTCAAAGTCTTTTCTCTTCATAACATTTATTCTTCTTTTTATTTTCACTTGCATTCTTTTATTAACTACCATGTTTTGGAGTTACATGTACAGTTAAGCTCAGAAATTTTGGTAACACTTTTTAACAACTTAATTGTTTACTTTTTATAACGCTGCCCCCTCTTTTATAAATGGATTTTGTTATTTGAACACAGTGCATGTTTGCTCACTGCATTATCAACAGACAATAGTTTGGTGATTTATTGCAGCATGGGGTGTTATCCCCTGTCTAAATTAACAGACTGTGACCACAGAGGTGTCAGCTCTGATATCCTATAATTATCACTGTTAGCTAGGTAGTTTCTTTTGGCAACAAGAGGTAACAAACATAAAAATTTGGAGCGTTCTTTCTGAGCTCAACTGTATTTAATAAAATGACATTCTTTGGTCTGTTTTGGCCTCTTGGTTAAAGGGAAACAACTCTTCATATGAAAGGAAATGTAAAAATTCTACCCTATGAGAGTACATGTAAAAATTCTACCAGGGCCACAGTTATTATTGTGGACATATTTGCTGAGGCAACCCTGTGACATTTGGCCAGATGGGAGCAAGTAAATCTGCACACGCACGGATGGCATTGTACCTGCTCTGCAGGAGCTCAGTGAGAGCTGTGCTTCGTCCCAATGTAATTAACGCTTGTTGCGCAACCTGCCTTGTCTTGTCTGTCTGCTAAAGGGCTGTTTTATTGTCACAGGTGAGCAATTAACTATCTTGATTACTGTCAAGGGGACTTGGCAGGGACTTGCTAAGTGACTGTGCCTGAGTAGTTATGCAAACATAACAGGGTCACAGTGCAGAGATTAGCCATCTATTTAACCAGAGACATATCTGTTAAGATATCTAGTGAAAAGACAATCTGTGGCCCTGGTAGAGGGTATAAAATTCCACAATAAATGCATTGTTAACAACAAATATAAGAAATTCCATTTAACCATCTTACGGTGGATATCGCAACTACTCTGGAGTCTGTCCCTGTCATCGAACTCCGTGAACAGGCACGTAGCCAGGGGGGTTTCAAAAGAACCCACCTTTTTGCCGGGAAAAGGGTACACTCTGGTTAAAATTTTGTCTAGGTACAGGAAGGTTTCATGGTGAAAAGTCCGCTTTTTCAAAAAAAAAAAAGAACCACCTTTTGAAATTGCTGGTCACGGGCCTGATGAACCTTCACAGCTAGATGGCTATCCTTCGAAATAATATTTTAAGAGATCACTACAAAAAACATTTTACCATAATTAATTGAAGGGTAGATTCTCAACGTGTGGATTGTATAGTTTATTCTTTTTCTTTTACTATGTTACTACTGTTATTTCCCTTTCTTTCAACGTGGCTTAAATGCGTTTGAGAACAAGATCCGCGGGCAGCCTAATTTACAGACAGTAAAACAATGAAATTGCAGTAGTTGTACCTTTGTCTCAACCGGATGTTGCCTACTTTTCTCACATAAGATTACGCATGCTTTCTGTGGTTTTACCGTGATTGTGATTGGTTGTGTGATTCGCTGTGCAAGTTGATAATCCACAACATGGCCTGGATGGCATGTCCTTGACTTGAGTCTTATCCCGGGCTGCATTATTTCATGTTTATTTCCAGAAAAAGGTAAGTGTACAGGCGTGCTTTCTTAAGTTAGGGGTCGCCTGGTAAAATCAATATTGAACACTGACACAGTCATTAGATGTCGAAAACTCGAGGAAACATGTCGGGGTAGAATACAACCCCTCATTTTTTTGCACAGAAACAATTTAAACCAATATTGACATAAGTATTTGGGTGAAGGGCTGTTGTCTGAACTATATAAATACAATAGGAAAAGTATCGTCTTTAATACTAATAACGATATTCAGACCTCTCTGTCCACGTTGCGTTAAAAACGCTGATGCAACTGTATGGATTTCTGAGTGATATGCTGTCTTTGTTTTGGTTTATTATGGCGTTTTCTTCGTTCAGGCCTTATGATAATGGATCCATTATGATTTTTTTTCATTCTGATGGGAATATTACTGACACGTTTATGTGCAGTCATGCATCAGTGATCCTATATATTGGTTCATTGACTATCGCCAGGGTTTTCCATGACTCCCTTTTGTCTCTACTCATGTTTTGAAACATGTCATTGCACAATAGATATTCTAATTGTTATCCATGCTAGAAATTGCAATCGTTCTGGCATTTCACCTTTTCTTTGATTGGGATAATTGATAAATCTAGGCATCACAGGTTTCAGGAAATAATGCACTTTGAGTTAAAGTGCAATATCTATTTTTAATATGGTGAAAAAGAATAATTTTGTTCTGTTCCTTTAGGTATTTTTTTAACCAAGGGTCTGTAATAATATTCACCACCAAAGCTGTTATATGCTTTTATTTTCTTGCAGAACCAGGTAAATTTTAGACTTTTTTGGGTATTTTCAGTTCTGAAATTGAATTGTTGCTTTTGTTGGTCTGTTTAAATAAGCAACAGTGAATGCAAAGGGAGAGCACAACACAAAGTGGCATCACCTTCAAGTCAAAATCTTTGGACAGGTCTTAACTTGCCCTTGAAGAATTATGATATGAATGAAACCAGTACTAAGTATTCTATATTTCAGATATTTGGGCAGGCAGAGTGCTACATTTTTGCTAATTCAAGTATTATATATTACAAGAATAGATTATGACACATTGCATCTACATGTTTATGTTCTATAGGTGACTGGCACATTATGTACACTTAATATTCTATATATACTAGGTTCATATAGTTCGTGTCTGGTAAATCCACATAGATTTCAGTATATGTATTAATTTGTCTATCGTCTTATTGCCAACTTCTGATTGATCCCGCATAGCTGTAGACTAATGTGTTGGGATTATTACAAAATATCAGGTGTTTAGTATTTGAGAATGATCCAACCCCCATGTTACATGTAATCTGTTTGGAGAAAAGATTGATTTCAGTCCCCAGACATAATGACATGGGTAAGAGCTTGTAGGAAATGGTAACAAGAGCCATGTAATGTTCAAATGACCATTGAGAATAATGTCCAGAGCAAATTGAAGTTACATGTAGGTGGTGCTTCAAGTGTGTGAACAGCAGCTACTCATTGTATAATGTTGTATCAGGTTTGTTGAAGCAGATGTTTTTTCAGATGTTTGATCAAATTTCAATATATGAAATAGAGTTTAGTGAACTTACATATATTTTGAATGTTAAAGGTGGAAGTGCATTTAACTAAGTGGTGTTTAATGTGTATAATGCTTTCCCAGACAAGCAGTTCTCTCAACATTTGTGCTCATGACAAAGTGAATGTTTCCAAGCACAAAAACACTTGTTGTCGTAATTGCATAAGAAAACACTCAGCCGTTGCTATCAAAATAAAAATGATAGTGCTTATAATATTATTATTGCATTTAACTAAGTGGTGTTTAATGTGTATAATGC